GAACAGAATATCAGATCCCCTAGAACTTGAGTCGTGCGGCCACATAGTTGCTGGGAATTGAATCTTGGTCCTCTGCCACCATGTCCTTTACCACAGAACCATTCTCCAGTCCTTACCTTAAGTTTTTACAGTGATTTAAAACTTAGGATATTGGATAATAAAATCTAAAGGACTATTTTTTCCTTACCTTTAATTTAAGAAATTAAGAAGAGATGTACACACAAGTTTAAGCCACCTGTGTCCTAAAAACATTTCTACTATGGTGTCAATGCGTAACTACTTCTGGATTTACTAAAAACCTTTACAAAATCGCCCACTGTTGATCCTGTTTCAATGAGTTTGTAGGGACAGCCCTTTCGTTAGGTAACTACGTTCGTCATTATTGTTCTGTCCTCCCAAAATGACCTTCTCTGACCTACCTAGCTCCACACGTTGCTTTCGAGAGTTGCTTCTTCAGAAAGCTGGTCCATATTTTAACATTTTAACCTCTCCTGGGAGACCAGCTCTTTTGTTTGCATTTAAGGCTTCCTGTTGCTCCCCTGTCTTAGCCGTGATGTACTACAGCTTTGGAAGCATTTGTGATACATGGCTGAAGTACTATTAAAAGACCAGGGAGAAAAATGCAAGAAACAGTGTTAGAGAGAAGACTGGATCAGATTCTTGATAACGATCAATGCTGTTTCTCATTACTCCTGCTGGTTATAGACCTTGAAAACCAACACATTTCAGCATGCTCCAGACTCTGGTTTCTGATGGGTACACAACAGAGAGGAGAAACTGAGGGCTATATCTTCTCGGTCCCAGTCAGCCTCTATTTAGATACTCCTGAGAGCCGCTCGTACCTCGACTGTGTGTGCTTGGGACACGACAGTAGTCTTGTATGTTGAATAAAGTGTGTTTTAAATTAAGGTTAAGCTTAAGCCATCCTCTTGGTTTTCTGTGCTCTTGAGTCTGTCAGTCCGCTGACGTGCTAAGTGAGTCTAACTATATGATTACATTATAGCATCGTTTTTTATCAGTAAGACACAGCAAAGGCCATGTTCCTTTACAAACGAATTAGGTTGGGGCAGAGAAAAATAAAAGTAAAGACTGATTGCCAGATGAGACGAGTATAGCATTGAAATGTGGAGTCTTAGAAAAGCTGAGGTGACGTTGAGGAGAGCAGTTTCAGCCCTGGGCCACAGCAAGGAGTCACGTGAGAAGAGACTTCAAGTTACTGAAACTAAGTGCAACAACCCATTGCCCTCTAAAGGTCCCTATCAACAACTCATCTGCCATTTGCGAGACTCTTAACTGGGTGGTCCTTACTGGTTTCCTTGGGAAGTTGTGTTCTGGGCATTGGCCTCTGCAGGCCTTCCTGGTGCTGGACTGTGAGACATTACTTCTCTAACGCTAACAGTTCCTGTTGTTAGTATGTAGCCATCTGTAGTGGCCTTCCCTGGGGGTCCCGATGGGATATGTCTCAGCTGCAGCCACTAAGAGCACCACCTGTGCACATTCACTATGTTCCCTTTTAAAGGGACCCTGCCCACCTCCCATCCTTTCTCTCTCTCTCTCTCTCTCTCTCTCTCTCTCTCTCTCTCTCTCTCTCTCTCTCTCTCTCTCTCTCTCTGTCTGTCTGTCTCTCTCCTCTCTCTCCTCTTTCCTCTTTCTTTCTCCTCTCTCTTTTCCACTGTTCCTGTCCCCAGAGGCTGGTCTCCCTCCTCTCCTTTCCCCTTTTTAGGATCCTTTTAAATAATAATGATAATAATGATAATAATAATAATAATAAAAAATAATAAAACCCTCCACTTGACCTGCCATATGGTGTCTTCCTCTCTGGAGCCACTTTTTAAAAATTAACACCTGTAGTGTTAGCAGTGTGCAGTTGCTCATATTCTTTGAGTATAAACAACAATTTGCAAAGGTGATCAGGTCATCCCACCATATTCCTAAGATTCCTTAGCGAGGAGGGGTGGTGCTCACCTTTAATCCCAGCACTGGGAGGCAGAGGCAGGTGGATCTCAGAGTTCCAGACCAGCCTGGTCTACAGAGTGAGTTCCAGGACACCCAGCTCTACCCAGAGAAAGCCACTGCTGAAAAAAAAAAAAAAAACACTAACAAGATTCCTGCTGGCATAGCTTGTGGCAGGGGACACCTTTCCTTTGAATGTTCCTTTTCCTCCCTCGGGTGACTTTTTCTCTCCCTACGTCTCTCAAGAGATGCTTTTGTACCCGCCCACTCTCTTCCGGTCAGCAAAAGACAAATAGGTCCCCGCCTCAGTGCGGCATATAGCTCGGAAGGTACACAGCAGCCACACGATTCAAGGGAATTAATGACACCACTGCCAGGTGTTTAGGAACAAGCAGGACCTGGGGAGGTGCCAGTGGGACCAGACCTAATTTGTGTCTTGCTTAAGCAGCATTTTCCCCTTTTGTACTCTGTAAAAAAAAGAGAGGGGGTTCAGTTAAAACTTTTCCCCGCCTGGCTCCCGATTGTGGAAGCTGCTCTAACCCTGCCATGTGTAGGATGCATGTCCTCTCACTGCAGAAATTCAGAGGATGGAGTGAGTACAGTTACCTCATACACGTTATGTGGACGAAAAGGCCCTAGACGCCTAACAAGTCCGTTTGCAATCCTTTCTTCCTGCCCCTCCCTTCCTATTTATTTTTTTTTTTTATCGCTCATCCCATTAATTTCTCGCCCACCAAACCTTTGGAAACTATACAGCGTTGCATAGGTAGAATACACTGCTTTTATTTTCTGAGCCATTTTTTTTTATTTTGAGCCTTATTCCGAGTGAGAGAGTAAAGGCTGAAGACCCCCATGGAAGGCATTTAGGCATAGAAAGGTAGAGCTGAGATTGGTTCTCTGGGAGCAAGTTTGGTGATCCAATTTCTGCTACTTTTCCTGTATCTGACTGGCAGCGAGGTCCTTCCCTGGGAGGCCATAGGTCAGGCAGGCATCGCGACAGAGTGCAACTGAGTACCCGTAATCCACGTCTGTGTTCCATGCCAGAAAATTTGTGGCACGGTGAAGGAGGAAAAATCCTAAAGGGGCTGGCAATGTACAAAATGTAAAATGTTCGTTGATTTGGAGCTTTATTTTGTTGCATTTTTTTATTTATTTGATCAAGCACAGTGTATAGATGGAAGTTTTCCTGTGGTCGCTCATCCATCCTTAGGTCCTCAGTACCTTCCCCACCTCACGCCTTCCCCACAAACCTTCTGCTCACGAACGTGTTGAGACTCCAAACTTCCAAGGCTGGAGAGAGAGAGAGAGAGACCGATTGCCCGTTCACGGTTCTGCAATTGTCATGGGAGTCCCAGGCATTGAAGAGACAGCTAAGTCAGGAATGTGCGCTTTGGAATGACATTTGTGCCAACCCACAGGGAAAGTGTGTCAGTAAAAACCGCTGAGCAAGCTTCCTTCCTCAGGAAGCCCATGGCTGGGCCACTGGGAAATGGTCCAGGGTGGAGTCCCGGGGTCTAACACGTTAGCACTCTTGCCTTCCAGTAAATGAATATAAATTAAATTAATTTGAATGGCAAATCTGCAAATTTAACCCTGAACTCCCTTGTTTCCCCTTTGAAGTGTCATTACCTTAATATATTCAGGCGTGTGTACGGTGTGCGCACATACACACACACACACGCACAGGCACATGCACAGGCACACGCACAGGCACACGCACACGCACACACACGAGGTTGTGCCTTGATGAGAAAAGAACTCACCGCATTTGTTTTAAATTGTTACCAAGCAACGATTTCGTCAAGATTGTGTTTATATTATCTTGACATAAGTATACTTAGCCTTTCTGTCTTTTATGTTTCTCCTTAAGAATTTTCTTAGCATAATTTTTTTTATTGATTCTCTGGGAATTTCACATCATAAACCCCAACCCCACACCTCATTTCCCAGTCCCTCCGTGTCCACCTTTCACCCTTGTAGTGTCTCCTCACCAAGAAAAGTTAAAAAAGAAATAATGAAAATAAAACTTAAAAATACAAGTAAGAATATTGACTAAAATATTAAATTAAATATTGATTAAAATAGTAAAACAACAACAACAAACCCCCAAAAGCAAGCAAACAGAAAACAACAACAAAAAGAAATCAACAACAACAAAAGAAGCTCCCTTTGCCTCTCCTCTCTGCCTCTCCATCACCTACCTCTTCATTCACCTCAGGGGTATTGGGAGCTGCTGTAGATCACGCAGTAAGTCCCTTCTGTCCAAACAGTTCCACTTGGCAAATGCTCATTGTGTAACGTTAAAAGGACGGGACTTAAGCATTCACGCCGGGTAGGGCATCAGCGTATATGTGCTGAAATTTTTGGAAAGTAGAGGTGGCTAAAGACCCTTGGGAGTTTAAAAGTGTTGTCCATTCCCATTCTACCATGCCCTACAGCCCAGTGCTGCTTGCTTTTACCTTGCAGATTATCCAAAGTGGCTTCTCTCAGTGCACAGCGGGAGTTCATTGTTGCCAGAGCTAGGGTCTATTAACCCAGGGCCGCCCGTCTAGGATTCTAGTGCTTCTAGAATTCCTAATGTAAAGCAGGCCTCCTCAGGGATACTCAGTACTCAACTATGCTTCTCAGAATATCATTGCTAACAGTTCGTACCCTTACTGTTTCTGGGTGTTAACATGCAATCGTTTTTTGTTTTTTTTTTTAACTCATCGCGGCGTATGTGTGTGTCACAATGTGCACGTTTTTTGGCGGACAGCCTTTTTTAAAAATATAAATAAACAAATGATTACTAAATAAAAATCGCTCTCTAAAAAACAAAAAAGAGTAAGTTGGTGTGATTTCTTCCAGAGTTTTTATCTTAAATGCTGCCGTGGTTTTTCTCATAATACTAAAGAAAGAAAGAAAAGAAAACTGATGGTGGCAAGCCTCAGTCTCCCTGCAGCAGCAGCAGCCGCTAACGTGGACTTCTTAGCTACAAGCAAAAGTGCTGCCTTGGTGGCTCCATTTTTCTTGTTCTAACCTGGTTTCTTTCCCTAATGTTTTCTTAGGTGCAGAGAGAGCTAGCGGCCGTCATTGCGCTGAAAGCAAGAAAATCTGGTGAGTGATCTCCCACAGGTTGGAGGGAGATTGTAACCCTTTTGGGGGGCGTATTCCGCACATCACTCGGCAGTGTTCACAGAGGGTACCCTCAGGATACCCTTGCTATAGAACGCAGAAGCACCTTACCATACCTCGAAGTGTTTATATCCCAGTCTAAATAGCATGAGGTGCCGTGGAAGGACTTTAAAGTAAAGTTCTGCTCCCTTCCCCTAACTTATTTCCAATTCCCAGGAAAAACTAAAAATGTTTATGGTCCACTGAAACCAGGAAAGACATCAAAGTCCACCGGGAAAGCAATTAAATTACTTTATATTATGTAATACAGTGACAGAGCCACAAATGTTATAATGCTGTAATGCTTTTGAGACAGTGCCTGACTGTATAGCCCTGGGTACCCTGGAACTCTCTCGGTAGTCCAGGCTGGTCTCGAACTCACAGAGATCTGCCTCCTTCTTGGTGTACTTAAGGCAACAAGACAACACTTTTCTTTTAATTTCAAAATAACTTGTCCGAAAATAGTTTATTCAGCGTTACTTCATAGCAGACATTTTTCACTGCTCTGATTATATAGATGTGCCCTCATAGTTTTAATCTATCATCTGCAATAAATAATATGCAGAAAGCAAAAAGAGGCTTCCAAACACATGTTGTAGAACAAAAACATTTTCTGCTAGAATCCAATGAAAAATGGAGGCTCAGTGAAGCGGGGAAATGCTTGTTTGGTGCCTCAGGACTTCTGTTGCTGTGAAGAGACACCGTGATCACCACAGCAGCTCTTATAAGGGACAGCATTTAATTGAGGTGGCAGCTTGCAGTTTCAGAGGTTTAGTTCATTATCATCATGGCAGGGAGCACTGCAGCTGGGAGTATGGTGGCCCGAGACATGGTGCTGGAGAGTTCTACATCTTGATCCAAAGGCAACAGGAAATGAATTGTCACATTGGGCCTGGCTTGAGCCTACATGAAGCCTTAAAGCCCGTCTCCACAGGGACACACATCCTACAACAAGGCCACACCTACTCTACCAAGGCCACACCCCAATAGTGCTGCTCCCTTTGGGAGCTATTGTCTTTCAAACCACCACACCTGGAGGACGGAGAGGGTGGAGGTCTGTGCTGAATGGCAATGGAACTCAGCAAAGGCATGAGTTGGGGACGTTGCAATAGAAGACGATTTTCCCAGCCAGAAAGACGATGACAGAGTGAAAATGAAGATAAACTTGAAGAGTAACCAGAGGAGAAATGTGTTAGCATAAACTGAACGTTTATGTATTTCTTTTCCTAGATGCTCTTAAGGCTTCACTACTCCTCAATTACTTTTCGAATCAAGACACATTTTAGTACGTGTGCATTTATTGCACTCGTGTAGCTTTGGTGACTTTGCTGATTAAAGACACAGAGAGCAGATGTTATGAAGGTGTTAGAGAGAAGGCTGCAGAGAGTGTCATGAGGGGGTGTGACAGCAGAGCCCATTGGGGGGCGGGCAGCAGCATCAGAGCGTGGAGAGTTGCATAGGAGGAAGTCAAGCTAGAGAAGGGACAGCGCTTAACGGTTTTAAGAGGGGTCACAAGTAAAGCGATTGCTTTGATCTTGATCCCTTTGGAAGTAAAGGAGCCGAACGTGAAATGTGAATGACTTGTGGCAGCTGCTGCATCTTTGAATGTGGGGTGTGACCTTTCAAAGTTTCGGTGTTAGGTTGGAAGAAGGTGAACATAGAGTGACCATTGCCAGAGAAAGCACAAGAAAGTACACAGGAGGCTGAGCATGAGGGCTGACGTGTGCCAGCCGTGTTCTAGGGACAGCAGAGATGCAAGAGGGGCTGGAGGTGAGCGGGCAAGGTAGTGAAGAGGTAGCCGTATGGATCATGAGGCAAAGCTCATGGGTGCACATAGGGAAGACTTGTACGAAGTTAGGTGTGTTACACGGCACCGTCTTAGGAGGTCAGAATGTGAACACAACTTCGCAGCTTTTAAGGTCCAGAAGTGATCCCTTACATGCATAAGAATGGGGACATGAGTTCATAAGTGGTCTTGTTGTTGATGTCTATTTGTTTGCCCTGATACTGTCTTACTAGACAGTCCTGGCTGTCCTGCAACTCTCTATGTAGAACAGGCTGGCCTCAGACTCACAGAGATCCACTTGCCTCTGCCTCCCAAATGGGGCATTGAAGCCATAACATCTGGCTAGGAGGACAGTTTTTCAGACTATTCTGTTATCTCCAATCCCTGGTCTCTGTCGCCCCAGGCTGAGGGTCTAGTCACAGGCTGTCAGCAGGGATTAAGGGAGAAGGGTGTGCGTACATTGGCTACCCTTTCTCCAGTATGTTAAGAGTCTCATGTAGCCTAAGCTGGCATTGGAAATCACTGTGTCGCCAATGATGACCAAACCCAGGCCTTCGAGTATGCTAGGCAAGCTCTATCAATTGAACTGCATATGCAGCCCTTACATTACTCCTTTTAATAGCAAGAAAATAGAGACCGTCTGCTGAGGAGATGGTTTAGTTGGTAGAATGATTGCCTTGCAAACATGGACTTGAGTTCAGATCCCCAACAACCACTTGAAAGCTGAGCCCTGGTCGCTTGTGCCTGGAATCCCAACTCAAGGAGGCAGAGACACACAGATCCTGGAGCTCACTGGGCTGTTGTCTTAGCAGAGTCATGGAGCTCCAGGTTCAGCAAAAGACTCTGTCTCAATAAATGAGGTGGGGTGCAATTGAGGGGACGCCAGACATTGACCTCTAGCCTATACACGTACACCTATGTATCCACACTCCTCACACAGACATGTTCATGACATTTACACACACACACACACACACACACACACACACACACGAGAGAGAGAGAGAGACGGAGAGAGAGACAGAGAAAGTTAGAAGTAGTTCCTAGGTTCTTAGCTTGGGTTTATGAAGTAAAATATCCAGTGAAATGTGTACAGTAGTGTATATTACTTTTCTTTTTCATAATTAAAAACAGGTTATTTGTTTTTCTTGCTATTAGAGAACGCTCATTGAAAGAGATTTTATTATACATTCATGTTTGAAAAAGAAATTGAAAAATCTCATACCCTCTCACCAACAACATCGATGCCAATCTTTTCGTTGTGTATATTTCTAGACACCCTCCTACTAACATGCATGTGTTACTACATACTAATGTATAGAATCTGAGGTAATTATAGACTCACACACTTGTAATAACTGATGCGTATATCTCAAGCACTGTTTAAAAAATATCTTTACTTATTCTTTGAGAATTTCTCCATGTATGTTTGCATTTTTTTATCAAATCCACCCCCCCCTCCAAGCTCCTTCTGGATTTCCCCTCCTCACTTTATTTTACTTGTTCTTTAAACCACTTATCCTACTTGGCGCCACTGCTATGTGCATGGGTACATGGAATGTGGGCAGCCTGTCTGGGGCTGAATCCCCAAAGGGGAAAAAAAAAACCAACAAAACCTGCTGTCCCTTCTCCCAGGACCAAGAGCTCTTTACACAAGCTCTCAAACGGCCGTGCCCAGCAAGGCTGTGATGTAGAAGCTGAATGAGGATCACACTGACACATAACCTCTCCATCTTCACAAGGCTCCCTCACGATCCTCATTTATAACTTCCCGAATTTTCATCTGTAGTCCCCCCACCCACCACCCCAGGTACCAGTGACTGTTCTCCGTTTCTGTTTGCCATGTCAAAAATACCGTAGCGACGGAATTATAATATGTAATCTTTTGGAAATTGATTTTTCACTGGTTTGATTTCTCTGGACGTTTATTCTGGCTGGACGCCGCTGGTTCATTCCTGTTTATTGCTCACCGGTATTCCTGTAGTCACGGTGTACCACGGTATTATAAGAAATCAACCATTCAATGACTTCAGGTTCGTTTCTGGTTGGGGGCTGTCGTGGAGCTGCTAAAGCTGTTCATTAGAATGTGGATTTTTTTTTTCGAGGCAGGGTTTCTCTGTATTGTTTTGGAGGCTGTGCTGTAACTCACTCTGGAGACCAGGGTGGCCTCAAACTCACAGAGATCCACCTGCCTCTGCCTCCCCAGTGCTGGGATTAAAGGCATGCACCACCAGCACCTGGCAGAGTGTGATTTATTTTAATGCAAAACTACCATTTTATTTTTCTGGAATAGATCCCCAACAATATGATTTCTAAGTGCATGGTGGTTTCACGCCTGGTTTTGTTCATTTGAGAGGTTAGCCAAATATTTCCAGAATTGCTAGGCCATTTTCATTCTCAGTAGCAGTGTGATCCAGGGTTTGATATCATCACCGTATATTTAGCTTTGTCTTAGAGATTGTGATAGGTGTACAGTGACATCTTAAGCCCTTATGATTTTTGTCTCCACGATACGGGACTTGTTTTCTTGTGCTTATTTCCCACGAGTGTCACAGTGAGGTGCTCGATCATGCCGGAGATGGTTGCTCTATTTTCCACTCTCAAATTTCCACGTTTCCTTCCTATAGCCTGGATATGAGTCCTGTGTTACTATGTGGTGACAAATATTTTTTCTGAAGTCCGCTATTCATCTTCTCATCCTCTCAGAGAGAAGGTGTTTAATTTTTATGAAGTTCGGGCTGTTCAGCTTCGTGTGGTGTGCATGTCTGTAATCCAAGCACTTGGTAGGAAGTTGAGGCTGGAGAATTGTCAGCTCGAGGCCAGCCTGGGCCGCACAGTGAAACCTTGCCTCAAGAAACTCCCTCAGAGGGAGAGTGTCGATTTACTTTAAGGATGTGACCCTCTTGGTGGACTGTCGGGGCTCCGATACAAGCTGGTGGCACTAAGGTGGACTCTGGGGGTTTACAACGATTTCAGGAAGCTGGGGTGGGAAAGTAATAATGGGGGCCATGGGAGGAGGGGGAGCGAGAGTGGTAGTTTTGATCAAAACATATTACATGCAATGTGATGTTATTAAATAATAAATAAAACCCCCACCCGTCCCACAAAAAAAAAAAAGGAGTAGAGGGAGGGGAGGAAGAAAGGGAAACAAAAAATA